CAGTGTACTTAGAGAAAATATCCAAGGTAGTATTTAGGTGCCACGACACTAGTTTTGGAATATATTCAGATATTTCTCACACAAACAAGACAATCATTGTAAAAAGGTAACATGTGTCCTCGTCATTTTTTTCGAGTATCAAACGAAGGCATAAATCTTATAGAATCTTATCTTATAATATTCTTATACTTAATCAATCACATTAAATCAAGCTTTCATTTTCAGGCTTTTAATAGTTGATTACAATGTCTTTAGACTCCTCACTCGAGTCTCTCAATAGAGCAAGGTTCTCTAACATTTCTTTTATGATGGTACCGATACATACCCTTGAGTATTGATACCAACCTTAGTGTATTAATACTTTCCATGAGTATCAATATTAGAAAATAGCTCGAAGTTCATTTAATCAACCCTTAGTATAGATACTCTGACACGAGTATCGATACTACCCTTTAAGGTATCAATATCACCCATAAGTAATATCAACTTGACTTTCGATGTTTGATAAAAAATCACTCAGTGTTGATACCCTATCATCATTATTGATATTGTCTTATGGGTATCTGTTGAACTATGTTTTCAATCTCCTTACTCCCTAAACACAAAACCGTTCCGACCCCTCTTTGCAAATCGTTCCGGTTGTCGTTTCGAGCTTCCGAAAATCCCAACAGTAGTATCGATACTATCTTTAAGTATTTATGCTAAATTAAACCCCAAAGTTTAGAAAAATAAGCCTAGTATCAATACCAACACTATCGACATCAATAGTTGATGAATAATATCAGTATCTTATGAGCATTATATCTATACTATCCAATTGAAATCTCGAATATCGATACTCAAATTCAAAAATATCAGGTTACTTATGAGAAATTCACCAAACTCACCCCAGACATTCATCTAAAGTACTAGGGTGATATTTAAAGCTTATGGGAAAGTCATAATACATTATTTTTATGTATAGATAACACCAAATTTGTCTCAAACTATCCACAAGCAAATTGCACCCAACATGTTTCATAAACCTCTACAAACAAGCAAAGCTACAAACAATGATCTACGATAATAACTTCTCATAATATAATAATTGATATAAAATCTAAGACATTTGATATTGTTTGTATAAAGTACATTAGGAGGCACCAACTTATTGTTTTTTTCTAAGTCATTATTTTTTTTGTTACAAAATGCCACTAATGTTACCTTTGCCTATTTTAATAATCGACTGTTAAATATTTAACGATGATGCTAACGTAATTTTTTCCAATTTTCTATATCATTTTCTTTATCCTAATCAGTCATTAATGTCACTAAAGACCTCTCCATCTAATTGATCCAAATAAAATTAATAAAAATGACACTTAGGTAAAGGGAAAAAATGTTGGAAAATCATAAAAAAAAAATCCACGCTTGCATCATTTAAGATTGATGATCAAAATAGGAAAAAGTATAACATTGGTGACGTTTTTGCTACAAAAAATTAGTTTGGTGACCAGAATAGGAAAAAAAAAGGTAACATTAATGATGTTTTTATTAAAAAAATAGTTTGATAGCTAAAATAAGAAAGAAGAAATAGAATGATGACTCGTTTTAAAAATTGGGTTATTGGCCCGGTAACATTATAAATTTAAAGTAAAAAAAAACCGCTAGAAGGAGGGCTTGAACCTCCGACCTTGTGGTTAACAGCCACACGCTCTAACCAACTGAGCTATTCCAGCTGGTTGGCCTAATCTTCAAATAAAAATATCACATTTTATTGTATCTAACTGATAAATCATTTAATTTAGTAAGGCTGGATAAAAAGTGTGGAAGATTAGATTATATAATAATAAATAGATATATATCTGAATCTATAGTGAATAATAATCATAAATATTTTTATATTAAGTTTTAGATTTTTTTAATAGTAGAGAATGGGTTTTGTGGAGTAGTAATTTTTCTTCTCTTCTTTTCCATGCTATGAAGTATGAACTTATTTTTACTATTTTTATTGCAGATGCTTAATTTGTTAATAACTTGGAACTTGTTTTATATACAAAAACAATGTTTAGTTTTGCTTTCTAACCTGGATTTTAAACATGTTCGATTATGGTAGAAAAGAAGTGGGGAGGCATCTTATTTGTTTGATGTGTATGTCATTCGATCAGATCAGTATATCGTAAGTTAAATCTTTCTTCCATTGTTTATATACAATGCTTCCTCCATTTCAGTTAAATCCTTCAGATTGAAGTTACAGAGATTATTATTTGTGTTTGGGTTAACAAGGGGACTGATGTGTAAAATGAGAGAAGAAAGAGTTGCAGACGTTGGTGGAAGAAAATGCTTTTTTCCATCTTGATGACTGGTGCAATTTTGACCACCAAGCTCGTATAATGGTGAGTATTCCGCCTGTCACGCGGCCGACCCGGGTTTGATCCCCGGCAATGGCGTTTTACTTTTTTCTCCTTCAGATTCAAAGAAGCGGGAAGTCTCTGGCTTTCCTAGGCAGAGAAGGGTTCCCCTGCTATCAGATTTACAATCAAACATCGGTTCTCAAAAACGGTGACCAGCAAAATCTGGAAACTGGCACCTTAAGTATAAGATTTTAATTATTTTTTAGTCTTTACTAGTGATTCTAATTGGCATCTTTTAATTTTAGTGTAATAGTAGATAAGACTAGAGAGTAGTTGCTTAGGGTTTTTTTTTCTTTTATTCTTTCGGGTCAAATTTTGTTCTGCTTAATTTTCTCATGAAAAATCACTGTGACATAAATGATTACAAGATAATATATGTTCTAACCAATTAACAATGCATGTTATTAAAAAAATTTTGACATGTACTATCTATTAACAACCTAGACGACATTGTGTTTTCTTACTTAACATGAGTTTAGATACACCCGGAAGCTAGTAACTTAAAAACCTAGCTACCACATAAACGGGAATGATAAATGAAGAAGATGAACGGTTGATAAATTGAGTTCTGGAATCCGAACTCTGGAGCACTTTACTGCTGCATAATGGCATGAATACCTCATTCACGTCTTGGGATTATTTTACTGGTTGGGCAATTACTTTTTGGAAAGGGAAGTCTCTAATCACTTTTATTTTAAAACTTACATGGTCTGCTTTCATTTATTTCCTTTTCTCGGGACGTCGGAGAAATGTAGAAGCCTTGCTCAAAGATATTAAGGATGTTGTTGCCATATGTCTAAGGGGCAAGTTCATCGATAGGCTTGATAGTATTAATCTTTCTCTTTGTAATGCTTGGAATATAACATAGCCAATCTTATTTTGATTCATGTTTGTTAATAGCTTCTTTTGTTGTTTGATTGGTTGTAGCAACTTTACTATTTTGGGTAATAAATTTTGAATTATCCAAAAAAAAAGTTTAGAAACATTAGTATTTCTTTAGTTTTGGTTATTCGATATTATAAGGTTTCATTATTGTTCATTGTTCTCGTACCTCCATCACCGTTCACTCCGACATCTCGTTAACCAACGATGCCATTTTTTTATATGTATATATCTTATAAATATAATTATTTAAATATAAAATATTTTTTCTTTATCGTTTTATACGTATATATATCTTATAAATATAATTGTTCGATTATAAAGTATTTCTTCTTTATCGTGAAATCCAATTGATGGATTCATGACAAGGGATTTGTAATATTCAAAAACATGTTTTGATTGTGGTATGTTGGGGGCTATTGAAGAACTTGAGTGAGCCCATATCCTTGAGCGTGTGATGTAAGTAGATTCATCATACACCTTTTGAGTTTCCAAATTGACTTTAAGCTGAGTTGTTGGCCCATAGACATACTAGGCATTAGGCTTTGATAAGACACAGTTTTATCATCAGGACTGTGTTAAGTTCAACTAATCAACCATCATTGACTTTTGTTTTATTAGATCTTTGCAACAGAACAGAATCTCAATGAAACAACTCCCCCCCCCCTTCTTGTCTTGTGATGTTTTCTTATCCTTTAAACATAAATCTTTATTTTCTTGGCTTGTTAGGGTTGTATATATGAATCAATTTGTTTAGGAGGTTAAAAGAATTATTGTTATTTTAAAGATAAAGGATTCGAACACTAACAATTGTAACAGGATGTTTGAACGTTCATTATTTAACGATTAAGAGTATTTAGAACATATATTACTTTATAATCACTTTAACTTAATTAAAAAATTACTTCCTAATACAACATTTATTTTTTATTGTTTAACATAATAATAAGCGATGATATACACGTGAATGAGAAAAATGATGCGTACAATGGGTCTAATTGAGTGTTGATGTTTAATTGTGTTGACGTAATCATAAAATTATTACATAAGATTATTAAAATCATAGTAAAATTTGCAAATGATTTGAAACAACTGATGAATATATATAATTAAAAAAATTACTGAGAATAGATGTATGGAGAAAACACCTAACATTTCCTCCAAGTACTTCTATTTTGTTGTCTCTATTTCAAGTTGTCGATAGATTTCTATAACTATATTTTTTTTGCAACTTTTTAAAAATTTAAATTTTAAATAAATTTTATTTTGATATTTTATCTAATATAAAAGAACATTAAAGGAAAGGAAAAATTAATTGAATTTCTAATAAAAAAAAGAGCAACATCCAATTAAATACCTCATTATTATTTTCCTTTCCTCACATCAACGACCACATCTTCACTTAACAGTAACATGCTGTTGAGAACATTAACAAAATAAAATTTTTTTGTACTTTATGATTCAAGCTACTTAATTGAATACTATTTTCAATTAAAGATTTATTTATTTTATCTAACTGTCTTTATGTTCGTTGAAAAAATTATTGTTATTTTTTAAAATTCTAACTTAGAGAGTTGCTTTAAGTTTAGATAATTATATCAATATATGAAACATGAAGCTCGCTTGTTTTTTCGATTAGATAAAGAGAGAATGAAACTAAAACTATTATAACATTATAATTACTTTTTCTAGCAGATAGCCTGATACACCTTCACAAATCCGCCCCCCACTGATGAAAAATAGAGAAATATAAGCCTGATACAAAGATACTACCACCAGTACAATTTGGCTATCTATGGTTTTACATTAAAAAAAAAAAAAATGAAAAACAAGCTGGGGTCATGATGTCTAATCCTGCTGGACCAGGTTTAGCTAGAACTAGGAGGATTCGTGTTAGAAGAGGAGCTGAGATTGAGGTCTGGGATTGTGTTGGCTGAATTCTTGGCCTTTGAGAGTTTCTGTTTGAGCTCGGACAAAAGGGCTTGATTCTCCTGGTTCAGGACCTGTGCTTTCTTCCTCAGCCTCTCGTTCTCTTTCATTATGTAACAGTTCTGAAGGTACAGATTTGAGTTCAGCTTTTCCATGACCATCCAACGATTAACTGCCCCTGCAAACAAGAAAACCCAGAAATTAAGAATGGTATTTCATGTACATTAGCATGTTATTGTTTGGACATGTAGAAATGTGGCTTTAGAGCCTTGTATTCATATAAAAACAAAACAAGTTGAGAGCCGAGACATGGAAAAAGACGGGGGTCCTGTTAAAGAAACAAAAATGTTGTGGAATCCAAGGAGAGAAACTTGTGCAAAACCTCAAAATGAGATGAAATGGGAAGAAAAATCCAACATTGGGAACTCAATAGGACGACCGATAGGTAGTTCTCATGCAAGATAACAGAACACCTAATGTAGGATGTGGTTAAGAACAGAACAATATAGTTGAACTGTGCATAAACAATGTCTACCCTTTGTTGGTGAAAGGAAAACAAAAGGGGGGTGCTAAAAGTGGGGGCCTCAACCGAGTTTTACCCTTTTCAAAAAGGATCACCTTTTCGCCGAGGAAGCCGTGCAATTCTGGGTTTATGTAACAGCTAGTAGGCAGCAGTGAGGAAAAGAAAGTGAAGCGAGGGACAAAATGGAAGGTAGGAAGGCGTGAATTTATATAGAGAAAAAGGGTAATAGAGGTCTGACACAACAATCATGAAATGTGTAAGCATTAGAAGGGATTTTAATGTTGCATGATGATGATGATTATGATGGAGATGGTGGCATCATGTGAAGGTGAAGAGAGAACTGGAACTTGCTCCGTTTCTGCAAATGATGGTGGGCTAGGCCGTCACAAGATTCGCAATGATGATGATGAATATGGTGGTATCATCCCTCCCATTTCTCTCTTTTCCATCAAACTTTGCTTCTTCTTCTTCTTTTTCATTTACTGTCAACTAATTATTTTTTGACACTTTTAATTATTTCTTCTTCTTCTTTTCTGGGTGTCGTAACTGTTGGTGATCATCATTTGTTGGCCGTAATCTTTAATTCTTTTGTTGAAAATGGCGGTTTTGGGTGAATTCTCAACAGGGTCCCTACCCTGTCAAACAATTATATACAAAATAGGTCACATCACAAATTATGCCTACCTATACACCACAAGGGCATATTTAGAAGCCCATCCCTCTTCTTTTGTTTTCTATACACTTTAATTTCTATCGTCAAATCGTATATACATACGAATCTGAGTTCCCATCATAAATCAAATAATGATTACTTTTCTTTTTTTAAAAAAAACTCAAACTATGATATTTCCATTAAAATTAAATATATAAAATTTATTAAAAATCATATTTTATCATTTTATTTTTAAACATTTGAATAAATTATCTATGTGATAATTCATTTATTACTTAGTTTTTTATCATTAAACTATTATATTTTTTAAATTATACTTAAAGTGTTATTTTGATTATGTTTAGTCTCCACTGTTAAAAATGGTCGTAATGACATGTCATTATAAGATACAACCATATCAGCATTGAATACTAACAATAATATCATATCAGCATCACCAATAATTTTTTAAACAGAATATCAAAGCATAATCAAAATGTAATAGATATGATTTGAAAAAAACACAACGTCAAATTTAGGCCACAATATTTATGAAAATGGTTATCTTGGCCTGTATTTTTTTTAGTATTTTGACATCCAACGTTTTATTTTAGGACAAAAAGAAACTTCTATGGATAATGAAATGGTAGGAGGTCGAATGCTATAAAAAAGGTCAAAAATGATAATTTAATTAAATGTTAGGATATTTTACCTAAATGAGACATTGTGGCCTAAAATGCTAAAAAAGAATAGATGCCAAAATAATCATTTTAGTAAATGTTGAGGGTTAATTTTGATATTGTCTTTTGAAATAAATAATAGTTTAATGACTAAACCATAGACTAAGTAATTGGTAGGTGACCAAAGAGCTAGTTTTCCCTAAATATTGTCTTCTTTGACTATCATGGTTTTTAAACTTCAACGAAATGACGATATTACCCCTACAACTTTGGTTTGTTTTAAACACCGTTGACGATGATGGTGGTGTTTCGTTTTTACGTTATTATAATCAGCTTCATAAGTTAAGCATATTGAAAAATTGAAATAACCATGGAAAGTTTTTTTTTTTAAATGGAAGTTGGGAAAGCCTCGACATTTCATGTGTTATATGAGTAGCTTAACGTGAAACATCATAGTTGACAGATGGTATGATTTTGGATGGTAGGATCGTCAATTCATTGCCTTCATCCCTCGTGAAGCTCGTTCGTCTTTGAGTGTTCTTAATGGGGACTTAGAGCAACCACCGGGGTTCGTCTTTGAGTGTTGATTTGAGCTTTCGCTTATTACAACTGTAATAATTACGGCTTTGCATTCAATTGGCTAATTGATGCTTTAGTTACTCCTTTGCCCTTACCGGATCATTTCCCATCCTTCCAATGATGGAAAAATCTTCAACGCCGTTCCGATATTAAATGAACCATCATCACTAGGGAGTGTTTCTTAATATACTTAGTGTGTTTGGTTGGGGGTATGTGAGATTCTCATGGGAATGAAATTCATATTCCTCCGTTTGGTTGGCTGAGAATGTCAGTCCCGATAATCTTACATTGTCAATAGTGAATTTTTTAGGATATATTACCGTAAATGTCATTACTTCATTTCCTTAAGTATTATTGGATTACCGGTGTTTTAGACTAAAATGCCCTTAAATTTTTTTTCTTTCAAAAAGTATTATTCTAATTGAATAAAAATTCTACGAATGTTAAATTATAAATTTATCCTTAAACTATTTTAGATTTAAAAAAAATCTATAATTAAAATATTCAGGGGTTAAAATAAAATTTTACCCTTCATTAAACCTTTCTATATTTTAATTTTGTAAAAAAATTATATAAATTTTATGAATTTAATTTTTTAAAAGAAAATATATAATATTTTCAACTTGTTAAAAAAATAAATATATAATAAAGACAATTTGGTCAAATATACATTCTAATAATATTTTATTCTTTTAACCAAACACGGTAATCTTACATTCCTGCTAAATCAACCAAACACAAAATACAACATTCCCAGTAATCCTATTCCCTGGTAATCTTTTATTCACACTGATAATCTTACATTCCGTGAACCAAACGCACCCTTATGGGGGTAAAAGATACTCATTTGGTGTAAAACCTAAGGATAAACTACGTATTTAGCTTAAACTATTAATTTTGGGTTTTTAGTATCTAAACTTTTGATTTTTTTCAAAACCATACTTAATGTTTAGTTTTCATTTCATTCTGTTGTTAAAAAATTAACGCGTTTATTACCTAAAGTATTCGTTTTGATCCTTTTTAGTACATAAACTTTTAATTTCTTCAAAACTTAACATTAAATTTTAAACGGGATACTAAAATGAAACAAAAACTAAAGTTTTTTACAGTGGAGTAATAAATGAAATAAAAACTAAACTTTAAGTATGGTTTTGAAAAAAATTGAAAATTGAGGTACTAAAAGGACCAAAAATGATAATTTAGGTACTAAATTCATAATCTACCCAAAAAAATAAATAAATATTTTTAGTATCAAATTTAATTTAAATATTTGTAAGAACCAACTTACCTCAGTATTAAAGGAATCGTCGTTGTTCCTAGAGGTCTCGATTTCGAGCACCAACGGATTGAGCGCTCATTGTCATATGATTGAGTGTATTTAAAAATATTACTTTGTAATCACATTAGCTTAATCAAAATAATAATAATTTAAATTATTATTTGTTATTTAAATATTTTTATTTAATTGTGTATTGAATATAATTTTAAAGTTCTATTTGATATTTTAATTTTTTCTCAATTAGATACCTAATTTAACCATTGTATTCGAATTGGTCTAGATTAATTTATTATTTAAATAAATCATTTATTATAATACTAATTTACATAAAAATAAAGTTTGAGTGTTTTTTATAATACTTTGCTATAATATTTTAAAATTGTACAAATATGATTGCTTAATCAAAAATAATAATTTAAATATTTTCGGTATTTAAATATTTTTATTTAATTATGTATTTGAATATAATTTTAAAGTTCTATTTGATATTTTAATTTTTTTTCTGAATTAGATATCTTAATTTAACCATTTTATTCAAATTGATGTTAGGTTTAATTTATTATTTAAATAAACCATTTATTATGAATACAATTTACATCTAAAATAAAAGTTCGAGTATTTTTTAATATTTTAAAACTGTACAAATATGATTGGGGCAGTATTAAAATGCTTTAACTACACACGTGAAAGCTATGGAAATCCTTATCTATCATCATATTCTTGCATGATGATTTCCTTTCTTTTGGCTTTCATTTTTATCTTTAATTATTAGAAGTCTAACCAACCGAAGCCATAAATTATAAAATCTATTGATACTAATTAGGATCACAACAGAAATATAAATTTCAATTGAACCCATAAATTATATTTCAAAATCATGTGATCCTATAGGTGGGGTTATGAGTTAAATCAACAAAATTAAAGATAAAAAATTGGTACCAACTATTCGCATTTCACTCATCGTTCTTATCAAATTAGCTTTGCACAAAACCGTCTCAAATCAACAAATTAAACAAAGAAAATCTACCATTTTAGATATTTAGAGATTTTTAGATTTATGAGATTTGAGTTGTTTGTTAAAAACCTTGAATGGTGAAAAGCATTATTTCAAGAAGACAAATAATATAACTCAAAAACTAGCCTCATTGAACAGTCATTGAAAGAGATCAAAGTATTGATATGTCGAACTTTGATATGGATTTTTTGTCAATTTTGAATGAGTTTCATGAAAAATCATCATAGGAGTGAAATAATAACGTTTGGTACCAATCTTGCCGCTAAAATATGACCTGTAACGGACGATGCATGACTGTCGATGACAATCAAAATGCAATGCTAAAAAAGAAGACTGTTTAAAGATTTAATGGTAAAATCGATACACTTATAAAATTCACTGTCTAAAACGATGTCGTTTTAGGCATCATAACAACCTCACCAAAATGACATCATTTGGTAGCATGCCACATCAGCAACCATTGACCAAGT